GAAGACGAAGAACAACGACGAAAGACGATGACGCAAGAAGATGACGAAGGACGACGAAGACGAAAGACCAAGATGAACGACGAAGACGAAAGACGAGACGAAGACGAGGGGCGAAGTCGAAAGTCGAAGACGAATTGAGACGACGAAAGGCGAAGATGAAAAACAATGACGACAAACAATCAAATAAAATAATATAAATAAAATATTATAAAAAGAAAATAAATATAAAAATAAAGACGAAGACCAAAATTCAAAAATTGTAAAATTTCGAAATAATAAAAAGTCAAAAAAATTCAAGTTTGAAAAATGACGAAGACGAAAGACGAAACGAAGACGAATACGTAAACGTAGACGAAGATGAAGACGAAGGCGAAAGACGAATAACGAATAACGAAGACGAAACACGACAAAGACGCAAGACGATTGACAAAGACGAATGGCAAAGATAAAAGACGAAGACGAGGGACGAAGTGGAAAGAAGAAGCCGAAGACGAAAGACTATGACGAAGTCGAAGTGAAAGACGAAAACGAAAGACGAAGGCGAACGACAAAGATGAAACACGAAGATGAAAGACGAAGATAAGGACTATGACGAAAGACGAAAGACGAGAACGAAAACGAAAGATGAAGGACGAGAACAAAAAACGAAGACAAATGACGAAGACAAGAAACGAAGACCAAGGACGAAGACGAAAGGCGAAGACGAAAGACGACGACGAATGACGAAGATGAAAAACAAAGGCGAATGACGAAGACGAAAAATATAAAAATAAAATAATATCTAAATAAAATAGAAAGAAAAGACAATGACGACGACAAAAATTCAAAAAATTTAATATATGAAAAATATATGAATTCGAGTAATATAAAAATTCTAAAATTATAAACTTTAGAAAAATTTAAAAATATAGAAAAATAAAAATTCCAAAAATAGAATATAGCGAAAAATGTAAAAATTTGAAAGAGACAAAATTCGAAAAATATAAAACTTTGAAAAATATAAAAATTCAATTAATACAAAAATGCGAAAATATAAAAATTACAAAATTATACAAATTCAAAAATTTTATAATTCAAAACACAAAAATTGGAAAAATTAAAATTCCTAAAATATGAAAATTCGAAAAATTAAAAAAATCGAAAAATATAAAAGTTTGAAAATTTTAAAATTAAATATTCGAGAATTTTGAATTTCGAAAAATTAAAAAATTAAAAAATTGGAAAAGCAAACAACTCGAAAAAATGTAAAAATTAGAAAAAGCCAAAAATAAGAGGACACGAGAATTAAACCGAAAATATTAGATACAAAAATTGGGAAGAAATAAAAACGGTGAATGAGAAACACGAAAACCTGAAAAATTGGAAAACAAGACGAAAAACTCAAAAACGAAAAACGACCGAGAGGAGAATAGAAAATAATTGAAACAAAAATTGGGAAAGAAGAAAAACGAAGAAAGAAAAAACGAAAAATGGAAATAATAAAAAACGAAAAAAGGAAAAGAAACGTAGAAAATATAAAGCCAAAACGTGATGTATTGAAAAAACGTAGAATCGAAAAAACAAATAAAGGAAAAAAGAAAACACAAAAAGACGGAAATAACGCAATAAATGAAAATAGGAAAAACGCAATAAATGAAAAAAACAAAAATTGAGAACAATAAACAAAAATGGGATATTCGAAAAATGGGAAAATGACAAAAGATTAAGGAATGCCGGGAAAAACAACCGAAAAACTGAAAAAAATAAACTAGATAGAAAAAAATAAACTATAAAGAAACATGAATAAAGAACATAAATTCACAGAAATGAAAATACAATAAACCTAAAATGGAAAAGGTAAAAACAAAAAATCAAAGGAACAAACAAATGAAAATCGAAAAATCAAACAAAAAAACAACCAAAAGCACGAAAAACATATGAAACGAGGAAGGAAATACCAAAAAACAAGCCAAAAAACAACAAAAACTAAAGAACAAAAGAAACAAAAAATTAATCACGAATAAAGCAAAAATGAAAACACGAAAAAACGTGATAACCAAAAACAAAGATTATTTTAAAAAATTAAAGAACAAAATAAACGAAAAACAATTGAAAAGGGATTAAACGAAAAACCAAAAAAGGAGGGACCAAAAACGAAAAATCAAAAAAATCAAGTAAACAAAAAGGGATATCAACAGAAAAACAAATAACCAAAAAACCAAAACAATAATAAAAAAGCAAAAAAATAAAAACGATTAAATGTAATGACGAAAAAATAAAAGCGGAAAATAAGGAAAAAAGAAAAGGAAAAATGAAAGGCGAAAATGATAGCGAAAGTTGAAAGGAAAACACAAAATACCAACATGAATGCCAAAGGTGGAACACAAAAACGAAAGACGAATACGAAAGACGAAAGACGAAAGACGAAAGACGGAAGACGAAGACGAAGACGAAGACGAAGACGAAGACGAAGACGAAAGACGAAAAACGAATACGAAAGACGAAGACGAACAAGACAAAGAAGAATAATGAGACGAAGACGAATGACGGATACAAGAGACAAAGATGGAAGACGAAAGACGGAAGAGGAAAAGGAAGAGAAAGAGGAAGAGGAAGAGAAAGACGAAGACGACGAAGACGAAGACAAAAGACAAAAGACGAAAGGCGGAAGACGGAAGACGAAAGTGAAAGACACAGAGGAAAGGCAAAATCCGAAAAGGATGACGAAAGCCGAAGACGGGGGCGAACACGAAGACGTTGACGAAAAACGAAGGAGAAAGGCCAATACAAAAGGCCAAGATGGCGATGAAGCCGGGAAACGAAAGCCGAAAGACGAAAACGAAACAAGAAAGACGTAAGTCGAAAGTTGAAGACAAAGACGAAGGTTGTGAGGAGAAACGAAGACGAAAGACTAAGATGAGAGACGAAGACACAATACCAGTGACGAATGACAGAGTATGAAGACCGAAGATGAAAGAGGAGAGACTACATTAATGGTAAACACGTAAGGCTAAATCCATTTTGAAACGTGTTGTTTTTAAAATCTGTACTTAAGTAAAACCTGAAGAAGTCTTAATTTAGCATACACGTAGTTACTTTGAAGTAATAAATAATGTATCTTAAAATTAATGTGCAGGAATGGAAAACTGAAACAATGAAAAATGTAAAGTATGCACTCTTTAATAAAGAAGTTTTGTATGTATTTTGAAATTTCATGTTCAGTACGTTCGGATCCTAATGTTCAAAATTTGTCAATAATATTTGGAAAGTAAAGTCAATATTGGTCGAACTTCCGTTTTTTTAAAAAAAATTCATAGCAATATCAAATGTTGCTTCAATTCAACTCTCTAACTCCGACCCGTTAATTCACTCTTTAAATAACGATAGCTTATTGATCGTCAAATAGATCATATACGTTGTGTGACAATATTATTCAGCTGAAGAGCTTTCAAAAGACGCAAATACATGCACAATGACAGATATCTACCGGAAAAAAACGTTTGGGGATTGCATTTCCTATTGTGTTTCGACCGAATTATTGTATGCAGCTGTGGGAACTATCTCCAATTTCGACAGAGCTTTTTACTTTACGCACGCTATAAAGAAATGTTATTCCGTACACTTATGTAATTTTAATACATTAAATAAATGTAATCCAGTAATAGTCAGACAAAAGCACATTGGCGCATAAAACAATGTCGTACGGCGCAAGCGCGCGCGGTGGGGAGTTCAGCGCTGCGTCAGCCGCAGGTCGGCAGGACAGGGGGTTCGAGGACCAAGGACACAGGGGGGGGGGACGTAATTACATGCGAGGCGGGCACGCCCCCAGCGCTGGCCGCCAACAAAAGCCGCTCGCAACGCCGCCGCCGCTGGCCTCTAACTCCGACCAGGTAATTCACACTCCAACCTCGCTAATTGCAGTCGTCAACGTCTCTTCCGCCACCGCCGCCAAGCGAAATGAACTTCCGCGGGCCGAGGCTACGAGGGTTGACCCGCCCCTTCCCGTCGCCCTGCATCCTCTAACATCGCCCGTGGAACCTCAGCTTGAGTATTCGTAGACCGTCGTCGCAAGAAACTGTTCATGTAGTGCATGGCTCTTGTTCAAGGACATTTTGAACTGTCTTACAGGGTAGTGTTGCTTCCACGAAGGCACAGCTCTCTCAAATATTATGTCTGAAAAGGTTTTGATCTGGTAATCTCTTACAATATTGTCGGTTCTGTGTGTACAAGTCTTGATCTTGTAGGTCTTTAACAACACAGTAATGCAAGACGTGACTACCATTTCCATCACTACATTACAACCGCAGCTTTACTGAAAATATTTTTTGGGAATGGTTCTCGTTCAAGTGAGAGACCTCTGATCGAAAGATGAAACCATTCAAATTTAAAATGCAGTGGTTAACATTACCAAGTGGGGGCCTTATAATTCCGTACTCGGAATCCGGCAATTCGGGAAAATAATGTTGCACAGGTTTCATCTTTGTGCACTATTCTCAAATATGTCCATTAAATCACACTGCGTAACGTGGATACACACACAATGGCTGACTGTCTGTACTTGGCACGACAGCCTGCAACCGGGCCAAGGCCTAGCAGCAGCGTCCCCACCTTGTGGCCTTAGGTTAAGGGTTGAGTGTGGTTAGCACGAAGCCATTTCTACGCCGTATTCTGGCCCTCTCAACCTGAGAAGTGAGTTTTCTCATCGTCACACAGTAACATATACAGGGACATTGCAGGGAAAACGCACACTATAATCTTGTCCGACCGGTAATCGAACCCAGGGTTCGCGTCATGGATAGCGAGCACGCTGATCAATGAGCTAACTGCGAGGGCACGTACATACTATGTGAGTAAGAATGCCAAATGTAGTCTAGGAGCGATTTAAAAATTAGCATATTTGAATTCTCGGCTATCCGGGAGACGCCGCGTCGTTGGCTGGGGTGCCGACGTTTCGCCTGACAATCGTAAATAATTGTTAAATAATAACTTGTAAGCTCTCCGCGGCATCGATATCCAAAAATATGTTATTCGAACTATCCGAAGAGTTTACGCACGACGAGTACAGATTAGGCTCGTGAGTTGACCGAGCTGTTTACGCTGACCATTGACTATGTCGCAGGTCCCGAGGTATACACTAC